TGGAATCACAATCAAAGTAATTGTTTACTTATTCTTCATTTTTATTTCTCATCATTGGAACTTTTATTTTCAATCTTCACTGATTGAAAAATTCTAATTAATTAATATCTAGACTCCAATACAATTTTTATACGAGAGAGAGAGAGAAAAGGAGAGAGAGAGAGAAAGTCAAGTAAAGGTGACTTTTGTAAGGTGGTAAATAAGGTAATAAAGTGATTATCTTAATCTCTCTTTTTCTCTCTTTGACATTTCATAACAATAGCCCTGTATATTAATCTCCTAATAATTGTAAATCAACGAGGATGTTGATCCTTTTTTATGTAACCCCAAAGAACTGTACTAAAAACTGGTTACCCGACCAGTTTTCTTTGTTCAACCAGGTACCACATGAGAGGTGGTACCTGGTTGATCTGATTGGATAATTTTTGTTGAAGATGAAGAAGATGAGGGAGAAGAAAATCTCCCGAACCACTAATATAATGGCCAATTTTCTTTATGAAATCGGGGTAGATGTTATCCAACTGTTTTACTAAATAAATACTGTTTTAATCAGCGTAATTAAATTGTGTACGTGGTTACAATTTAAATTTATCCCTTAATGCTTTTTCTAAAGCTCTCTCTCTTTCTCTCTTTCTCCAACTCTAAAATTAAGCTCAAATTTTCCCTCTCTCATCTTTTCTCACTCGCCTCTTTCGGCCCAATCTTGCATCTAATTGACTTTGAATATTCTCCTTCGCTACTATATCCGAATTGTACATTACCCGAGTGAGCTAACAAAATTCCAATTTAGCCATGAGAATATACATGTATTTTTGACCTCAGGTTATTGTTTATCTTGACAGTAATTTAAATTGCTTTTGACCCTTGGTCTAATTGTTAGTGCGAATTTAATTTTCTCACGAGATCAAAACGTCAATCCAATTGATGATTTTGTTTACTAACAAGGTTCGTGATCGTGCAATGACCTTTTCCTATTGAATGTTGTAGGAATAAACTATATTTAATAAATCTATGTACCAAAAGTGCATCTATATCATTTAATTGTGACCTTAATAGTTGAGTCTTACCATAGACATATAGCACCATTTATTATATGGGAAATATACTAAAATGGTAAACTTTTTCAAGCACCTAAGTTTTAGTTTATGGACAGCCTAGTGGCCCCTATCGACGGCTGATGTAACTAATAATCGAAAATTTTATTAAAGTGGATTTATCATGTATTGTACCTATTATTAGTGCTTTATAAGTATATCTGATGGTTTTAAAGGGAGGAATTGTTTCTCACATTATAATAATGAAATACCCATATTATCATAATGATGATAATATGGGTATTTACATAATGAACCTAACCTGAACGAAATGATTGGATAGAATGTAATTAATGGTTACCAAAACGCATTTTATTGATTAAATAAGGTAAGAAGTAATAATGATTCGATACAAAAGAAAGAAAAAAATTTTTGCGAATGAAAAACGAATAAATAAATCTAACGTTATGATTGTTGTTGTAGTTTTTGTGATTGAAATTCTTCTCTGAATATTGTATCAAAATATCGAAAAAATATCGTTATCTATCGAGTATGATATTGTACCGGAACGTCGCTACTTTGATAATTTGAATGACGAGGCTGTAGTTCAATGAGTAAATTATCATCGTCAGTCTAATTGAACAAAAAACTTTCAAGTGATAGTGAATGTTGATTCAGTTACACGTTTTAACTAATTGATTCATAATATGAGTGTTTCACCAAATGTTTTAATGTTAAAATGAGTTCGGTTTCATTGATCAATAAACTTCCATGTATTTCCAATAGATATTATTTAATATTGTCAAGAGAATCAATCATTTCTCTTCCTTAATTACTTGCAATCGTAATCAATTCAATATTATAATAAATCAAGAAAACATAATTTTTAGTATGTTTAGGGACTAATCGCGGTCCATTTATTTAAATACAACGGAATTATGACCGGAGCACTTTGGACACTTTTTTCACCAAAACAAATCTGATTTTCTGTAAGGGCATGAAAAGTTGTCGGTAAAATAAAAATTTCATGATCTAAAAATTCATCGTTTCTGAGAAAAAGCGACCTGAAGTTTAAACTTCGAACTTGATTTTCTCGAAAATTACTGATCAGACCAGAAAAAGATAAACATATTTAGACTTTATATTTTGGCTTTACAAATACACAAAATCTCAACTCTTAACTAAAAAGTCTAATTTTTGCAGAGTGTCCTTTTAATAAATAAACCGCAATATAATAAATATTATATATCAAGATAAATTAAATATTATCATGCGAGCTTGATTGAACAAAAATCTTTATTAATAAGCTTTGAAATTTGATCAGTATATTGATCAAGTTTTATCTTGTCCAAGATCGTATTGATGATGTTCGGGTGTAAGTGCGTTTCTTTTCAGATGCAAATATTTTATCACATATGATTGGCAGTATTATACATATGGAAGTATTCAAGAACGAGACCATAGCAAGGTAATAGACGAAAGAAACTGGCTTGGCATCCATTAGTTTAGATGCTATCCATGGATGAATAGCTTCACCAATCGACCCATTGATGAATATAAATGGAGCTAAAGCATTTGTGAGAATAAAATACTTTTGTAATTTACTTAGAGCGACTGTGAATAGAGGAGCGAATCCAATGCCAACAAGATTCAATCCAATCCATGCGCATAACTGATTATAACCTGCATGAGGAATCAGAACGAATATCGCTGCTATTTCGCTACAATAGCTAAATAACATCAAGTATTTGTCTCCAATGAAGTTCGATATGACAACGAAAAAGACTTTGTAAACGGTTAGAACCAACCAAAATACTGTTACCAATGAAGCTCCAGTAGCTTTACTCATGTGTAAATCAGATTTCACAACATATGCAGGAGCTAATGAACCTAGAAAATGGTGGAAAACGAAAGTCAGTTTTTGATACGATTGTCGCACTAGGAGATAACTCATACCGATCAGAACTGAGACACCGAAAGTTGTATTAGCAAAAAGTGCCATTAATCCAACGCCAACATAGATTTTCCATTTCTTTGGTTGATCATCAATATCCTCTTCATTTGTATCGATGGTTTGTTGTTTCGTTTTATCTTTGAAATGAAATATCAAGAATCCAACCGATGAGATAAACTGCAAAGCCGTGACAGAGAGAAATGCCCACTGAACTTTAACATCATTCGGAGTGTAATTTCCCTGAATGGTAATGTTATCTATCTTTGTGATAGTAACACCATCACTAGAATCATCATCATTTAGAGGTAGTAAAAATGGTTGACTAATTAGTGGAGTTATCAAAGCACCAACACCAAAGGCCCCGTGAAGAACTTGAACATAATTCGATAGAGATTTACTGTCCTTCCAGATTCTAAGAATGTAAGTGTTACAAACTGAAAGAAAATTACTCGAACATTGAATTGGTCAAACAGTTGTTGAAATAACTGTGATTCATTTACTCACCAATGTCGAAAATACCCTGAGCGAATCCTGAGATCAAAATGAATGAATAAACGAAGTAAAAAGATTTGAACCAAGGAGCGATCGCAATCGCTGCACCAGCGATAAAATTGGATATAAAGAGTATCATATTTGGTCCTAAGAATCGATCAATTAAACCAGCTTCAAATTGAATTAATAAGATTAATACAATTTGTAAGATATTAAATATGTAAATGAAACAATTAACTTACATGCAATTCCTCCGATAAGATACCCAATGGATCGAGCTGGGACCAGGTTCGATGTGACGGCGAAAGATTCACTAATTCTGATCTGAAGATCAAGTAAAGAGGATCCAAGTAAAGTGTTACATCCACCGAGACCCAGAAATGATATTACACAGAGCAAAGTTTTTATAAGTTTTACTCTATGGCTATCAGATGAATTAGTTAACTGCATCTTCGTCCTGTCGATTCAATCAAATCCTCGAATAGTAAAACTGTTTGATTGCCATGAATTCAACACAATGAAAAGAAATAAAACTATTCACCCTTCTTTTATATGGAACTTTATAATTACTTTTATAACTTTCCAAGATAATTTACTAAGATCAACCATTTTTTTCATATCTTACATACAAACCGATTAAAACCAATCTGAATTCACACTTTGAGTCTAATAACAATATTTTACATTAACATGTTTTCTTCTGATTTAGATCATAATAAACTATCTCCTACCTATTAATAGAATCATCATAATTGTACTCAGGAAAATTACACTCAAGATTAGCTGATTAATACAATTTTCTGTTGAAATAAGTGAAGAAATTCACTGATTATGTTATCTATTTCTAAGAAAAATTAAGTGAAAATTTGTACTTGATTGTTGAGTTTATACTCGACTCATCGTCGACATAAATGCTTCAAATACAATAATTGGCGCTAATTGTGTCCCTTATTTGATTGATTGTCTCATAAAGCCAGAGACTTTGAGTTAGCAGTCACTTTTTAAATCATTCACGTAGTTGAATATTATCAATGAAAGATTCAGTTAACCTAGAGATATGATCATAAGTATTGTCCACTCATTTGAGTGATTCAGTTTTAAAATGGTCAACTGATTAGATATCAAAAGTTACATTTCCTTGATTTTCATTTTCATGATTTAAAAAGTGGTTGCAAACTCAAAGCCTTTGGCTGTATATTCAGAGGAATTGATAATCTAGTGGAAATTGACTGTTACTATTTATTAATCATAATAATATCTTGTTTTTCAATCTATGCCTCGAATTCATATAAACTTATTGTTTCTTTGTTACAGTTTTCGCCTCAAAAATGATAATAAATTTCATCAAAATTCATTAAACCATGAAAAAAATAACGATCATGACAAAAGAAAAGCTAATTAACTCAAAATGTGTGTTTCCTGTTTAAATTCAACCTCCGCCTCAATTGAGATTATCTCCTCCTTCTTCAGGGTAGTTAAGATAAATTAACAATCAAGAATCAGCTGAAGAGAAAAACTTTGATTACTTTTTGTCTCAGTGTAAAGTTAATTCTAATTCTGAGTTGTTTCAATTGAAATTCTTCATTCAAAAGTTTTCTCAACTTTCACACAACTTTCGCCAAGAAAAACTTGATTTCATCGATTCATCATCATATCGATTGTGTAAACTAACTGATTTTTTTATCACCAATTAAAACTAATCAATTTATTGAAATTCGTAAAGTTTGATGAATCTTTTTATATATATAAAAGTTGAGACAATTTTCTAATCAACTTTCACCATTCAACTGAATCAATTTTTGGCTAACAAATCCAATTTCTTAATACTAACCTAAATCAATCAGTCTACTCACTAAGTTGAACATTTTAAAATCGTCGATAAGATCGAATCTTGATTCTCATTTTCTGATATCAATTCGATGACAATTCCTGCCTTTCAAAGTGAAAACGTAAAATCTTTCGTCTCATCAACAGAAACCATGGATTACCAACATCATCCCTCTGAGACTCAATCAACAATCGGATTAACACCCGAGCTATCATATCAGGTAAGATTTATCTTCTTATTAATTGATTGCTTTCAACTATTATCACTAAACTAATTGTGCTTAAATCATTTCATCGACACAGCAGAATTATCAATCTCATCAAACAGTGAAAATGATTAAAATGGTCGCTTACACAATGATTGGAATGACAATTATCCTTGGTAGTTTTATCCTTCTCTCGGCTTATGTTCAATCGGGTGGACGATGTAATTGTTATAGAGGTTATCAACTAGTAAGTATTCATATTGATCGATTATTGGGAATTTGAATCGACTTTATTACCGCTTAATGCTTTGTTTTATAAGGGATCAGAATCGAGAGACAGTCCTTATTATGAACCTTTAACTGCGGCTTCGGGCGATGATTCCGGTGATGGTGCTAGTCGGCGTCTTCCAATTCGCATTCTGATGGACGGTGAAGCAGGGGTAAGTTTAGTCGACGATAGTAGTCAAAAAGACCGGGTCTGGATCACAACTTCTACCTAATGTCCGGGTCTGGACCAAATAAATACCAACATTCAGTGTGCTTATTTTAGCGGGAAATTCAAAAGACTCTGGAACTAATACCAACATTCGATAACCTTATTTTCGAACATAATTTTAGCGGGAAATTTTAATTAGTACCAACATTCAGTGAGCTTATACTCTATAAAGTGTCACTTCTAGACCAAAGTGTCCATTCTGGACCAGATTTTTACCGGGAACTTCAAATTTATTATAGAAAGATTCTATGACAAATGAGGGTTCTAGGACAACTTTTTGGCGGGAAATTCAATTTTTGTAAACAGTATAAAAGACAATGAGCTGACGGTAGTCAGCTCATTCGATACGATGACTCCATGAAATATAACATGATTTTACGAATCATCATTTTCATAATTATAACAGTCATTTTACTACTAATATTCCGTGCAATATTTTTTGATAATATTAAATACTGAAGTACTTACATTGTATCAATATACGATTAAATCATTTACAGTATATCTCATATACATGAAAGCTAGTAGTTGATTAAACTTACACGAGGTGGAGCCACTTGTCACCGACAGATGGCAGCACTTCCATAATACTTTTGCTTTTGTTCAATAGATGGCGACACTTTCTAGTTAACTTACTTTTCTTACCAGAAGATGGCAGCACTTCTGATGATTTTCATTTATCATCATTTATCTTCCAAACGGATGATAATTTTTTTATTCTGTTCATAAATAACTGTTCAGAAAACTCATGTCTTCATGATCACCATGAAAAGTTCATTCAGAATATCATAAATTCAGTGTCAACTGAATTCTTGTATTCTCAGACGTAACTATTGTTGTGCGACAACAAGTATATATAAAGGAAAGGTTTCAATGTAAAATCAAGTATTCCTTGTCTTGATGTTAGATCGAAAAGATCCTGAATAGGCATAGAGAATACCTTTAGGGACTGTTAGGTTTACTTACTGCTGATACTATTAAACGATACCTGCTATTGGATACCTGATACCTGATACCTGATACCTGCTATTGGATACCTGATACCTGATACTCATTCTGATTATCCTGTTTAAGTATTTGGATTCCTGTTATTTTATATATCAATCATGGTATTTATTTGTCCCTGTTGTGACTCAATTTTCCAACTATTGGGTGATTACCTTTCACATACCTGTAATTGTAATTATCTTTCCTGTAGAATGATGGATACCTTCACTGGTCCACCAACTAAACGACAACGAACTGAAGACCAACAACAATCATCACAATCAACCTGCTCCAGTGACTGCTCTCTATGTTCGGAAGCATTGAGAAATATTCCCCGAACTCCTGAACAAATTTCACCAGAACCTCCTGAGCTTTTTCCAGATCCACCGATACAAATTGAACCTGAAGAGATTGTACTATCTAGTCAATCTACAATAGAAATATCTTCTGATGAAGAAGATGAACGTCCAATAGATCCTAATATTAATCGACCATCCGTTATCCAATTTGCTCCGAGAATCGATCAAGGTACTTCACCAAGTCCATTTTCTTCTCCATCACCTCCACCAACACCTGTACCATCACCTGTACCATCACCTGTACCATCACCTGTACCATCACCTATACCATCACCTGTACCATCACCTGTACCATCACCTGTACCATCACCCGTACCATCACCTGTACCATCACCTGTACCAGTTAACAGTAATATCTCCAGAGTCGAAGTTTTGAACCAAATAGGATCTGGTCAATCAAATATTGCGTGCAATAAATGTGGTAAAAGTTATACTCGTAAAAAGTACTTAGACAATCACATAAAAACTTGCGGACTTTCAATAACTTTCTCTCATCCTGAGAATGCTCCAGATCAGATAGACTCTTTCAAGCTCATCAAATCTGCTTTCAGAAAGTACTTGCTGTTGTATCGATCAACTGAAAATGATGGTTTAGATTTCAATTCTTGCGTACAATTAAAACTTAGCGAGATAAAAGAACTTTTGCATTCATTGATTGATGAATATGGAGCTATCAAATTCAATTTAATAACAGTTGTAAGTTTCGTTAATGTTCTTGATGGTAACAAAAGAGAAAAAGGAGCATTTGAATCTGATCTTACACCATGCTTATCCGGCTCGAATAAAGATGAACTGTTGAATGATGCTATTGACTTCATTCAAGACCGAATCGATCAATTCACTCAAAAAGGTTCTGGTTGGACAATAGAAAATATTTTATCAATAGATATATCTGTTGGAAAATACAAGCCTTATCGTGGTGGATGTGAATCAAATCAATTACCATCATTCATCAAAAACAAAAAATGTTTGATTTCACCACAGACTGACGATGACTGTTTCATGTATTCAGTCCTCATAGGTCTTCATAAAGCTGATTACCAAGCTGGTCGCATTAGTCACTATTTATCTTATATCAATCAGTATGACTTTTCTGATGTTCGTGGTATCGTTCATGTTGATAGAATCAATATTTTTGAACGAAAAAATAACATTTCAATCAATGTATACAGTTGTTACCCTGAAAACAAAGCCGTTGTACCTCTCTTGATTAGTGACAATCAAAAGGAAAAACATGTTGATCTATTTCTAATAAATCATCATTATTATACAATCACAAATTTCAACAGATTGGTGTCGAATAGCAACAAAAGAAGCAGATTACACTGTAAAAGATGTTTATCGTCATTTAGAGTTCAAGATGCAATAGAAAAGCATATGGAGACATGTCAATTGAAAAGAGCTCAGCGATTATTACTTCCTGAAATCGGAAAAGATATTCTCATGCGAAAAGATTTCAATAAGGAAGTACAGTTTCCCGTTTGTATTTATGCAGACTTTGAAACCTTGAATACAGTGAATCACGACGATTTAAATATTACAGCTGATCTCAATGCATGTAGTTTTGGATACATAGCCGTTGATTGGACCGGTAAAATAATTTATAAAGATTTTTATCTTGGTACTGATGTAGGTAAAAAATTCCTTGAAAGTCTGTACAATGCTGAACCTACAATTCGTAATCACATCCAAACGAATATTAAGCCTTTATCATTAACGGTTGAGGAAGAGAGAGCATTCAAAAGAGCAACACATTGTCACATTTGTTATAAAGTTTTAGGTTCAAGTCTACGTGTTCGTGATCATGATCATCTCACAGGTAAATTTCGTGGAGCTGCACATCAGGATTGCAACGTTAATTACAAATTACCAACTAACATTCCAGTCGTTTTCCATAATTTGAAAAATTTTGACGGTCATATTGTGATTAAAGCTCTTGAATCATCAATGGTTAAAAATCCAATCAACATTATTCCACATACAACTGAGAAATTTATCGGATTCACAATCGATAATTTTAGGTTCTTGGATAGTTTTGCTTTCCTACCTACAAGCCTCGACAACTTATCCACTAATCTCACTTCAAATGAAAAGGAGAAATACCTAAAACAAGTATTTGACTCTTTTGATCTATCACTTCTTATGAAAAAAGGATGTCTACCATACGAATATTTGGATTCATTGGAGAGATTTGAAGAAACTGAATTACCACTTAAAGAAAAATTCTATTCAACATTGACTGATTCAATTATTTCTGATGAAGTTTATAATCATGTAAAGAGTGTTTGGACAGAGTTTGGATGTCACACTCTAGCTGATCTTCACAACGTGTATTTGAAAACTGACGTTCTTCTATTAGCATCCGTTTTTGATAGTTTCAGACAAATGAGCTTACAAAATTTCGGTATCGATCCTCTCCATCATTATTCTTCACCCGGACTTACATGGTCAGCAGCTTTAAAAACCACCAAAATTGAGCTTCAATTGTTCTCAGATGTCGATATGCTTCTGATGATGGAGCAAGGAATACGAGGTGGACTTACAATGGTTAGTAAAAGACAGGCTAAAGCAAATATACCTGTGATGACTGAATATGACTGTGAAAAGCCAAAATGTAATATTCTATACTTGGATGTCAATAACCTTTATGGTGAAGCGATGTCTAAGCACTTACCTGTTGATGGATTTTCCTGGGTTGATGTGAATGATGATACAATAGATCGTATCTTATCAACACCTAATGATGCTGATCAAGGATATATACTTGAAGTTGATCTCGAGTATCCACCTGAACTTCACGATTTCCATTCCGATTTCCCAATGATCCCTGAAAAATTATGTGTTAATCCTACCATGTATAGCCAATACCAACATAATCTTTTAAGCTCACTTAAAGAAAACGGTGTCAAAGCAATTCCATCAACGAAGTTGGTGACTTCATTTCTTCCTAAGATAAAGTATGTTGTTCACTATGAACTGCTAAAGTTCTATTTGAAACATGGGATAAAAGTTACAAAGGTTCACCGTGCCATCAAGTTCAACCAATCGCCATGGCTAGCTGAGTATGTTGATTTTTGTACTTTAAAGAGACAATCGGCAAACAATGATTTCGAAAAAGATTTTTGGAAACTTCTCGTGAATTCAATATATGGAAAAACCATTGAGGATAAAAGAAAGCATATTAAAGTGGAAATCGCACTGAAAGACATCGAAGCTGAAAGGAAAATGAGGAAGAACTTAGTCAAGAAATTCGTGATTTTAGATGAAAATAAAGCACTGTTCCAAATGAAAAACGACTTAGTAAAAATGGACAAACCGATAGCGGTCGGCTTTACCGTATTAGAGCTTGCTAAGCTGAAAATGTATCACTTACATTACGAGACTTTCAAACCATATTATGAAAATAACGTCCAACTTCTTTATACTGACACTGATAGTTTAATCTATCAAATTAAAACAGAGGATATTATGATGGACTTGAAAAACTTTTCATATTTGATGGACTTCTCTAATTATCCTCCTGATCATGAACTCTTTTCAAATGAAAACAAGAAAAAAATTGGCTTCCTGAAAAATGAAGTCGCAGGCGATGAAATAG